ATCTGAGCTGCCCAGGCTTCTCTGAGGACCCAGTACCTCAGGGCCTTGTTGGGATCGCAGCTGAGGCAGCCAGTCTGCCACCGACATCGGCTGCAGATGCAAGGAGAATTCCTGAGGGAGAGGATGAACTGGTAGGACTTCTTGCTGAGGTCCCTCCAGCTGAACATCTTCAGGGCCTTCTTGTAAGCCTCTTCAGCAGCCTTAGTGTTCTTGTTCTCAAGGTGTTTGTGTGCCTGAGCAAAGAGCTTGTTCTTCTCAGCAGCAGCTTTGGTTCGCTCCTTAAGGGCATCTGCCTTTGCCTTCTCTAAGGCAATCGCCTGCAAAAGGAGGTTTTTCTCAACTGCCAACCGCTTAGTGAGGTAGATGAGCCGATCCTTCCAGATCTGCTGAAGCTCTGAGGGATGCTGAAGCAGCCACTCGCCTCGCTTCAACCTGAGGCTCTGCTCAATGTAGCTGAGGCAATAGAAGCCACATTGGTTGAGGCCTTCTGCCTGAGTGCAAAAGTTGCTGCGGGACTGAGGCAGCTTGAAGTTCTCGTCTAAGATCTTGCCGATCCTGAGCTGCTGCTTTGCCTGATCCTCGCTTCGCTCGCTGAGGGAGTCGAAAACACTCCATCTCAAGTCTTTCGTCTGCTCAGGGGAAGCCTTCTCAGCCCTGAGGATTGTCCAATGGCCTGAGGCAAAGACCGGCACTAAGACAGTGCGGAAAGGTCTGGCCTGCTCTCTCAGGGCTTCTTCCCTGATTGCAGCGAGATCCTCAGGGAACTTCCAAAGCATGTAAGGAATCCCTGGGTCCACCACTGAGAAGGAATCTGAGTCCTCAGGGTAGGGCAGTCCGGACTTTTCAAAGGCCCACCTCAGGTACTGCCACCCAAGCCAGAGGCTTTGGTCCTCAAGAAGCCTTGTCTTAGGAGTCACTGAGACCAAGGTGTGCCCCTCCTCCTCATCATGAGTGGTTCTCTGAGGATAGGCACTGATGTTGATCAGCATCTCCTTGAGGTGAGACTTGTTCAGTGTATTCTGCCTAGGCCACACGAAGCAGACGTCTGGCCTGAGACTCGCGAGTGCAAAATGTTCCTGAGGGAGAATCTGACCGCCCTTGTCAAAGATGACCTGATACCGGCCCTCAGGGTAGGCCTTCGTGACGAGACCCACCTTAGCGAAGTTCGTGGCTCCTGCTGACTCATGACGGACAACCACTTCCTTGTTCAGGTAGAGGTCGCCCCCGTCCGCCTTAGGCTTCTTCTCAGTCTTCGCCTTCTTCTTAGGCTGGGCTGACAAAGGCTCAGCTTTCTTCGCCTCCTCAGCTTTCTCCGCCTCCTCAGCTTTCTTCGCCTTCTCAGCCAGAACCTTCTTGGCATCCTTCTCAGCCTCCGCCTTAGCCAGGCTCTTGATGGCTTCCTTCTTCTTCTTAGAGGGCTTCTCGCTCTTCTTCTTAGATGGCTTGGCGGAAGCTGAGAGCTTGGTCTTGGAATTCTTCTTCTTCTTCTTCTTCTCAGTCTTCTCCGCCTCAACCACCGCCGTCTCAGGGTCGGCCTCAGGCACCTCCTCAGGCTTCTCCTCAGGCTTCTCAGGCTTCTTTTTGGCTGTGGCTTTGGCGGCCTTTTTCAGCTTACCAGCCAGGGTGGGCTTCTTCTTAGGCTGAGCCTCCTTGTCCTTGTCCTTCTGCACGTGAGGGACAACTGACTTCAGGAGGTCCTCAAGGGAATGGTCCTTAAGCTTCTCAGACATCTTCTGGACGTACTGCTTAGCAAGGGCCGCCTTCAGGTCTTTCTCCTCAGCCTTCTTCTGAGACTTGATCCTTTGCCTCTTCCTCCTCTGGCGGTACTGCTCATCCTGAGCAGTTGCCCTCCGGTGAGCCTCGAGGAGCTGAGGTGCGACTCTGAGGGAGAGGCTGTTGGCGGCCTCAAGGGCGAGGTCATCCTCAAACTCATCTTCGATCTCAGGGCCATCCTCTAAGTCGTTCTGGCCATCCTCAGCTTGGTTGTAGTAGTCCCACCTGATGAGATCCTTGAGCTCTGAGGCTGTGTCGCTGAGTTGCCAGTTTGCCTCTAAGGGCTCGCCATCCTGCTTAAGCCACCTGAAGCGATCCTGGAACCACTGGGAGGGCAGCCTCTTAGTGCCCATGCCGAGGTTCATTTCCTTAGCCCACTTCTGGCTAAGGAGCTGCTCAAGCTTGCCAGTCTGAGGATTCGGTCTGTAGGCCAGAATCCCATTCCTCACGGCTGCTCTGAGGACCCACTGATCATTCTCATTCTTAGTGCTCATCTGCGCCTGAGCAGCAACGACGGCTTTGATGATCTCTAAGGCACCCACCTTAAAGACTGAGTTGCCTTTGGTCTGCTTCTGAAACTCCGTCCTCAGGTCCTTCAGCTCCTTGCGGACAAAGGCCTTGAACCTAATTCGTGGTTGTGGTAATTAATTAGGATAAAAGATCTAAATAATTAGTCCTTAATGGGTTTAACTAAGTACCCATAAACATCTAAAAAGGTAATTACAGAACTATGACAAAGGAACTGCTTAGAGAAGTCTGAGTCCGTGATCTGAAGGAAGGAGGTGCACTTAGCGGCAACACAGCAGCCGATTTGCTGTGCTAAGGCCATCTTCTGAACGGAGGAGTCTGAGAAAACTGCACTGAAGCAGTCCCTCTGCCAGAGGGAGCAGGCATGCTCTCTGGCCTGAGCCTCAAGCACCCAGCCTAAGATCACTGAGTCCACATTCGCGGCAGGCTGAGACATGATCTCAAGGTGCTCCACCAGCTCAGGGTGACTCTGCCTGACCTTGCGATAGGACTCAAGGATTCTCCCGGCTGAGGTACCTTGTCCTCTCAGGATGGTCTTAGAGCCAACTTTGAAGTGCTCGGCCTCAATGAATTTGCCATCTGCGGAAATGTTGCTCAGGCGTGCCCACTGCCCGGGCACGACTAAGAGGCCCTTCCCCACCACACCCAGGACAGGCGTCTCAGGATCCCCGTAGACGTTTCTGAGGAGCTGTCGGGCCTCGTAGGTGATTCTGAACCTCTCCTCATTTGCATGGCCTTTCTCAGGCTGTTTGCCTGTCTTCCTTCTGGGTTGGCTCTCAGGCTTCTCCTGCTCAGGCTGCTGAGACGGGGCCAGACTCAAAGCTGAGGGCCCTTCTGACGCTGGAAAAGCCTATGCTTGCTGTGCTGGCTCGTCTCTGAGGCTGGGGCTTGCTGTTCCTGATGGGGCCGACTAAGAGGTCTGCTGCTTGCTGAGTCTTGGTGACCTCAGCGATCGCCTGTCTCACCTCAGAAAAATCCTGCTTGTGCTCCTTAGAATGGATCTCAGACCGGCTGAAGACCGCCCTACGACCAGGATCCTTAGCCCAGAGTGGCACCTGGTCGCTAAAGCCGATAACCAGGTTGGCCCTGTTGTCGCAAAAGGCCTTAGGATCGGCGACCAGTGCGGAGTCGCTGAGTCTGCTCACTGAGGAACACGAGGACAACCACAGTTTGTGGTCGAACTCCTGCCAGGTGAGGTTGCACCTGACTGAGGCCTCCGTCTCGGTCAGGGGTTGCACCAACTCAGTGCTGAGGTTCTTAGCACCAAGCCACCCAAGCAGTCGCCTGGTCCAGGTCCTCATGTACTCATGGTTCCCTGTGCTGAGGTTCTTAGCACCAAGCCACCCAAGCAGTCGCCTGGTCCAGGTCCTCATGTACTCATGGTTCCCTGTGACGTTGGTGGCCCTGAGCTTTCTGTTCTCAGCTTGCACCTTAAGCTTGGTCACCTGAAGCACACTGAGGCTCTTGTCTGTGGCAGCACGAGCCAGGAGCTCCTCAGCTGACTCCCTGAGGAACACGACACTCTGAGTGCCCAGGTGTTCCTGAGTCACAGTGACACCGCAGGCCCGCTGCAACTCAAGCCAGTCTTGGAGTCTCTGACGGACCTCAGGATAAGGTGGACGGCGGCCCGCACCTGGGGCCCTCTTCCTCCTCTTATTGCCTTTCTTAGTGGGGCCGACAGGCAGCTTGCTGAGTTTCTCAATCTCCTCTTCTCTTTTGAGGAGGTCACTGAGCTGCTCTTTCCTCAAGCCGGTCTCCGTTTTCATGACCTTCCAGAAGGTCTGAGGGTCGTACTCTGACCTTGCCTCCTTAAGGCGTTTGATGATGAGGAGCTTCTTACTGGCTGTGAGCTCCTTCTTAGGAGCTCTGGGCCTGCGAGGGAGGTTTCTCCTCATGGTCTGCACCATCTTCTGCTTGTCCCTGAAGACTTCTAAGGGGTTGGCCTGAGGCATCTTGGCTTTCAGCTCAGCTACTTCCTCAGCCAGCTGATCAATGATGAGCTGGTCCCTGAGCTGTCTCTTTCTGAAAGTGGGCCTTGCCTGAGGTGTGAGGCTCGTCTCAGAAACAGGCTTAGCTTCGGATTTCGCCTCAGGTGAGCCGAAGAACCGGGCCATGCCGAACTGCAGCTGTCTCTTAGGAGTAGGAGTCTCAGCTTCGGCAGGCTTCTCAGCTAGTTGTTCCTCAGGTACTTCCTCAGTCTCGTTCTCCGCAGGAGAGTCGTGCTCAGGAACTTCCTCTTCTTCCTCTTCCCCCTCACCACCCCCTCTGAGTCGGAGCTGGCTGACAACCCTCAGGGGTCCTGCAATTGCAAGCTAATTAGCATTCTCTGCTTTTGCTAAGACAATCATTCACTTAAAAAGTATATAATTATTAGGAATTATCTATTATTGATTCGGTCTGATTGCTGAGCACGAAACCATACCGGAAGGCTTGCCAGGCGATCGATTCAGTTTTGTCTGATTTAGGAGCACGAAACCATACCGGGAAGGCACCTTAGGCATCCTTTCCGGGTTCAGGGCCACCCGGCTCTTAGGACAGCCCTGAGAATTCCCGAAACGTGGCCGGTTCGGGTTTGTCTGATTCCTGAGGACGAAACCATACCGGGAGGGCAACTTAGGCATCCTTTCCGGGTTCCGGGCCACCCAGCTCTTAGGACAGCCCTGAGATTTCCCGAAACGTGGCCGGTTCAGGTTTGTCTGATTCCTGAGGACGAAACCATACCGGGAGGGCAACTTAGGCATCTTTCCGGGTTCCGGGCCACCCGCCTCTTAGGACAGCCCTCACATTCCCGATCCGTGGCCGGTTCAGAAGCGGTGGTCTAATTAATGCGTTTTTGCCGGGCGCCGGCTGCTGAGGAAACAGGAGCCTGGCCCCTTTCCTAAGAGGCCGGGCCAACCGGCTCTCACGATTCCCCGCAGATTTCCCGAAACGTCGCCGGTTCAGGTTTGTCTGATTCCTGAGGACGAAACCATACCGGGAGGGCACCTTAGGCATCCTTTCCGGGTTCCGGGCCACCCGGCTCTTAGGACAGCCCTGAGATTTCCCGAAACGTGGCCGGTTCGGGTTTGTCTGATTCCTGAGGACGAAACCATACCGGGGGGGCAACTTAGGCATCCTTTCCGGGTTCCGGGCCACCCGGCACTTAGGACAGCCCTGAGATTTCCCGAAACGTGGCCGGTTCAGGTTTGTCTGATTCCTGAGGACGAAACCATACCGGGAGGGCAACTTAGGCATCCTTTCCGGGTTCCGGGCCACCCGGCTTTTAGGACAGCCCTGAGATTTCCCGAAACGTGGCCGGTTCAGGTTTGTCTGATTCCTGAGGACGAAACCATACCGGGAGGGCAACTTAGGCATCCTTTGCGGGGCCACGGCTCTTAGGACAGCCCTGAGATTTCCCGAGACGTGGCCGGTTCAGGTTTGTCTGATTCCTGAGGACGAATTAGGCATCCTTTCCGGGTCCCGGGCCACCCGGCCCTTAGGACAGCCCTCAGATTCTCGATCCGTGGCTGCTTCAGAAGCGGTGGTCTAATTAATGCGTTTTCGCCGGGCCCCGGCTGCTGACGAAACAGGAGCTTGGCTCCTTTCCTAAGAAGGCTCACGATTCCCCGCAGCCTTTCCCAAGAGGCCGGGCAAACCGGCTCTCACGATTCGCCGCAGATGTCCCGAAACGTGGCCGGTTCAGGTTTGTCTGATTCCTGAGGACGAAACCATACCGGGAGGGCAACTTAGGCATCCTTTCCGGGTTCCGGGCCACCCGGCTCTTAGGACAGCCCTCACATTCCCGATCCGTAGCCGGTTCAGAAGCGGTGGTCTAATTAATGCGTTTTTGCCGGCCCCGGCTGCTGAGGAAACAGGAGCCTGGCTCCTTTCCTAAGAGGCCGGGCCAACCGGCTCTCACGATTCCCCGCAGATTTCCCGAAACGTGGCCGGTTCAGGTTTGTCTGATTCCTGAGGACGAAACCATACCGGGAGGGCAACTTAGGCATCCTTTCCGGGTTCCGGGCCACCCGGCTCTTAGGACAGCCCTGAGATTTCTCGAAACGTGGCCGGTTCAGGTTTGTCTGATTCCTGAGGACGAAACCATACCGGGAGGGCAACTTAGGCATCCTTTCCGGGTTCCGGGCCACCCGGCTCTTAGGACAGGCCTCAGATTCCCGATCCGTGGCCGGTTCAGATTTGTCTGATTCCTGAGCACGAAACCATACCGACAGGCTTGGAAGGCGATCGATTGAAGCTTAGGTAAGACAAGAACTGGTGCATTCATTCATTCATTCATTCGTTCATTCATTCGTTCTCAAGTAATTAATTGCTTAGTTGGTTAATTAACTAATAATTGGACTAATTAAAATTCATTACTTCGCTGTTCTTCTGAGACACCGAAGTTCTGAGACTGTCTACAGCAGCAACTGATGCCGTCCTTGTCGTCTTCTCTCAGGAAGACAATTGCTAGGCAAGTGCTCATCATCCGCTTCCGCACAAAGTGACTCAGGTCCTCTAAGGCTCTACTTAAGGTAACCGCCAAGAACCCTAAAACCTAAACCCCAGGTCCTGTCTTAGGGGTTGCCGTCTGAGCCGTGGTCTTCATGACCTCCTTGAGGTACGAGACCTCAGATGACATTCTGTGATTATGGCTTACGGTTTAGGGTTTAGGGTTTTGGGTTTAATTAGGGTTTAAGGTAATTACTTGATGATAAGTAATTAGAGGTTATCTAATCAATTAATTAAAGGGTTCAAGGAAGGCTTAGGCTACGGTTTGACTTTGCTCAGGCCCTGGATCAATTGATTACTTCAGGTTTTGGGTTTGGGGACTGAGAACAGCAAGCTGAAACCGAGGTTTATGGGTAATTAATTAAAATCAGGAATCCCAAACCTTCAACCCCCCCACCTTAACTACCCTTCCAGAAGTCTCCAAAGAACCCTTAGCAGCAACAGTTTGCAAAAGAAGCACAAACCCTAAGCCCCAGTTCTAGGTGGCTTTACCTGAGGTTTGGGCTTTGGGACTGAGGGCAGCTAGCTTGCTATCTGAGGAGTTTTAGGAGGCTCGAGCGGGGATTTTGGGACTGAGAAGAAGGCTCAGGCTCCGGTTTCAGGCTTTCCTAGTAATTAATTAATTAGTAATTAAGTAATCAAGGTTTTGGGTTTTGGGATCGAGAATAATTAATTAATTAATTAGTGGCGTGAAACTTAAGGTTAGGGTTTTAATCGATTAGGATTGAGAACAACAACCTTAACAATTAAGCTTAATTAATTACTGAGTTAATTACTTAATTAATTACTTAACTAGCTCAAGCCAAGAAGCTTCTGAGTGGATGTTCCACTCAGGGAGTGCTCGCGGCTTCTCAGGAAGGGCCAATATCATGGTCTGCTGAGCTTCACTCAGCTTAAGCTCTCCCAACTTCTGGGGGAGGTAGCTCAGGCGGGAGCTCCTAAGGGACCACATGATACATGCACATGAGACCTCAGGCAATACCCTCAGGAGCTCATCATTCTCGGCCTCCTTAGATGTGGCACATGAATTAATTAATTAATTAATTAATTACTCAGGCAGAAAAGAACTTGCCGACTTCACGGATGTGCCTTAGGTATTTACAGCCAAGACTCAGGGTGGAACATGCATTTCTGCACCTCAGGCCTGCTAATGTTTGTGAGGATACGAGTGTGCTCCTCAAGCTGCTCCTCAGTGGCCGTCTTACCATGGGTCACCTTAGCTGGAACAGCAGAAGGAGCACAACTGAACCCAGAGACTCAGGAACCCAAGGAAAACTTCAGTGCATCTCAGGCACTAAGAGTGTCCTGTAGTAAAAGATCTCAGACTTCAGGCTGGTAATGGCTGTTCTGAGGATCATGTCCCACTCAGCCGTGAAAATTTTGGTCTCAGGGAAGTAAGCCTGAAGCGGTGAGTCTGTCATTAGTTGCACTCAGGAAGTACTCAGTTGCTGACTAAGTGCAAGCAAGGATCTCTCAGGTACGAGCAGTTGCTGAGGGACACTCGTTGCCTGAGGAGCCTCTCCAAGAAAATCATGGCACCGCAGGCTCTCTCGTCGAAGTCGGCGAGGTCCTGGCCGGAGAGGAGCAGACTGAGGATTGATTAATTACTCAGGGAAGGAGGCTCTCTGGGTCCTGAGTGACATGCCTGAGGATGTCAAAAGGATCGCCGGCCAGGCGGTCGAGCCCTTAGGTGTGCGAGCACAAAACGACTAAAGTGCCGAAGCCAGCTAGAAACCTCAGTGCGGGCCAAGTTGCTCAGCTCGATGTAGGAGAGTCGCTCAGAAACCCCACTCAGCCAGTTCTCCTGCAGGGCAAAAAGACTTCATTAATTAATTAGGGAAGCACAGGGGGAGGGCTTAATTAATTAATTTACATGATTAATTAGCTAATTAATTAAACAGTTAGCTCAGAACCCCGTGCGTGAACTCAGCTGGCTCCTGAGCTTCGGCGTACCACTCAAGGCTGCCCAGATAGCTGAGGCTCTCAGCACTTGCCTTATGCTGCTCTGAGACATACTCTAGGCGGTTGAGAAGCTTCCTCAGGAACTGCAAGATGACGATGCTCAGCACGATGAAGTAGGCTGAGGCCTTGGATGGTGCAGAACTAAGAGAACACCTGAGAAAAGGCAAAAAACACTGAAGAAGCACTGCTGCTCGGGTGCAAAGTCCACTGAGCCGGTGAGGTCGCGAAGCTGAGACATGATCTCAGGGGCCACGGGACCTGAGATGAAAAGGTGCTGGGAGACTCTAAGGCAGTCAGGATCTGCTCAGACAAGCAGTGAGGTGCAGCAGTCGATGCATGCGAACTCAGGTGGAGAACACTCCTTTTTGCACTGAGCTCTTCTTCGTGTGCCTAAGGATCGAGCCAGGCCCGATTCTGTAAGGTGGCCCGATTCTTAGGCTGCTGCAAGGTGCTGATGAGGCAAAACTTAGGAGCCACCAAGTCAGCTCAGGGCCCCTTACTGGAGGAAAAAACTCTGAAGCTGAGCGATCTCCTCAGGGCTGTACCTGCTCAGGAGCCCGCTCACATCGATCTCAGGTACACAGGAAGATCCTGAAGCTTTCTCCTCAGCCCGGAGGTGAAGCGTGGCGAAACCGGCCTCAGGCTGGTCGGTGTCCTCAGGCACAAAGATGTCATCCCTCTGAGGGTTCTTCTCAGGCATGAAGGAGGCATTCATCTTCCTGAGGCCCTCCCTGGCAGACATGGAGGCCTTGTTGCTGAGGTGGCAGAGCTGCTCCACAGTCCTAAGGCAGGCCTCAAGCCTCATCTGCTCTTTAAGGAGCCTCTCCCTGAGGTCACTGAACTTATCGA